GAAAATAATAATTTCCAAAATATATTATAAAATATATATAATAGTCGATTAATATCAAATAAAGATTAAAAGACTTATAAACAAAAATAGAAGAATAATTATTTATAAATTTATAAGGTATAATAATATTAATCGTCCAGGTAGAATCATTTGAAAGGAAAATTATACCTTAGAAATTCATATATTTTAAATATTGATTGTTAATATAAAATAGTAATAATAGAAAATAATAATAATAATAGATGTGAGATTCTAAAGATTTCAATAAAGGTAATATAGAATAGAAAATCCAAGATAAATATGAATAGTAAAAGAAAATAATAAAATTTCATTATTAAATTCGACTTATAAATTCCGGTAACTTGAAATTAAATATTTACGAAAATATCAGGTAATAATTCCCATAAAAAATGGTAGAATGCCAATCCTAAAGATAATAAATAATGGGGGTAAGAAAATAAAAATGTATCCTTCATTCAAATATAACGACATTCATTTCTACCACAACTCACAACCTCTATTCCCTCCCCCTGCCAGGAATCTGTCCGCGTCCACAGGTTTAATGAGGCCAAACTATGCAGCTGCTACGAAATATTATCTCCGTTATATCTCGCAACTGGACGATTCCCTGCGCCTGTCACGAGAATCGCACTTCCACGCCTCAAAGCGCGCACAAAGTCCTACGCCTGCCACGAAAAAAAAAAATATCAATTCATGTGAGGTTCAAGAAAATTGACACCATTTCATACGTTTGGAATGACTTCAATCCGTTCTAAGTACACTCCCATCCACAAAAATCGCCACTTCAACTGAGACTTGCGAGCTTCGATACCACACGCTGAAAGGCACAAATCCACCCCAGAAACACAATTCTCCAAATGATAATTTAAATGGAACTGCGCAGCAATCTACGGATCTCACACAACGCTGCGACTGTGCAGCGAAATACATCACATTTCTTGCGCGACATATCATTGTTATGCAAATCACAATAATGGCGGCGCAAACTAACAAATAACACGTCCATGAGCAGTCACTTGCAAAAGCTTCCCCCAATGGCAACAAATTTAAGATGCGACGACGACGACAAACGAGGATAGACGACGAAACGACACAAGCCACAAACATAACTCCAACCCCCAGACCCCCCAACTAGAAACGGAAACCCTTTGCTACGCATTCGGAAATCAAACCCGAATCCTTGACGTAAATTATTCAACGAGACATAAAAAACATCATATAATCAAAATATATATAAAATAAGAGAAAAATAAATATAAAAATACATACGAAAATAATATAAATAACACAAACCCAAAACAATTACAAACTAAACGACCCCCCCAAAAAAAAACACACAATTAAATATCAATCAAAACACTTCTCAATGCATAAATAAATATATATATTCTTTTTTGGTGTAACTAAAATTATCAAAACATAACGATTAAAAAAAATACCTATAATAAATTATTTCAATATAAATAATAGATATGATATCAATTCCAATTCTTCAAAATAAATATATTATTTTTCCAATAAACACTTAATTCCAATGAATTTAACCACATAAAATATATTTCCATTAGATTCTTTTTAAATATATTAATAATTCGAAATACAATAATCCATAGAGTAGAAAACATAACGTCTCTCCCATTATTATCCGATAAATGACACATCGGACAAGCAAGCCTTATTTATAAAAAAAACAAATTTAGAGAGAAACCGAAAAGCTTCAAAAATCAAAAAGCCAAAAAGAAACATAAAAGAAATATATCATATCTGTCAAGCATCATACATATTTTATCCATTTTATTATATATAAAAATAATGAAATCAAGGAAGGTCCAACATTCCCCAACCCATTGACCACGAATCTCAAAAATATGAATGTTAGGCCATTTTTGAAAAGCAATCTCTTTTTAAAAAAGGCAGGAACGATGATTGTTAATTGGAAATATCCTATTATTAAAGAAAATACATTAAAAATTAGGATTTTTCTATATTCTTCCAATTTTATGAATATTTTGACTAATAAAAAATCATAATCAAAATATCAAACAACTATTTTAGAATAAAATTTTCATTCATTGATAAATTGTAAAATAAGGAATTAAAAGAAAGGGAATTTAATATAATAGAAATATAAAATGAATAATATCTAAAAATAAAAGAAGAATGAATTTCCCATTATATATTTCCTTATCATCAGATTTTTTTTATATTATTCTATTTATGGGGAAATAATTCTAAATTCTTATAAAATCTTGGCTTTTTAATAGAATTATTTCCCTAATATAACAAATAAATAATATAGAAAATCCTAAAAAACCAAAGAACCTAAAATTGGTGGGAAAGAATAACTTCCTCATACTTAAAGAGCCCTATAAACACAATAATTAAGAAAAATCCTCCCAAAACCAAGCTTATAAATCAGAAAAGAACTCACAAGCGAACAAAATCATTATCATCACTTAGGATCTTGGAAACGATCCTTTCATTTGCAGAGAAAAACATAATTTCCAAAATATATCATATAATAAGTATCGTAATCGATTAAAATAAAATAAAGGTTAAGACATTTTTTTATAATAAAATAATACTTCATAAATTTATATATTTAATAATATTAATCGTACAAATAAAATCCAACAAAAAGAAAATTACATCTTAAAAATTACAATATTTTTAAGTATTAATATTAATAAAGAAAAAAATACAATAATCATAACATAAAATTCTATAAATTTCAATAAAAATAATATAGAATAGAAAACCCCGACTCCTGTGCCGGGTTGACAGAGGTGCAAACACGTCTATTGATGTGATCCCTCAAACGATAAAAATCAACACAGGAGTGAAAGCAATGATTACAAATGGGTCGACCATTCCAAGCATCTCTTAAAAGTTCAAAAAAATCATCTAATTAATAGGGTGTGTCATGCAAGCTTCTGTTTGCGGGCTCCTACCTGCTTAAATGGTGGATGGCATTCGGGACACTTGAGATCCTAAGCAAGCTGAGGATCCGGGAAATCATTGGGCAAGGTGAGATCACCAAGCCACAAATCCCATACGAAATCGGCAGCACGAGTATGCAATGCTTGTTAAATACGAGCTTACTGTTGTTACAATTGAATCCAAGATAGTGGGAAATTATACCTATCGAAGAACCTTTACGTCGACTCATGTGTCAGGCAGACCGGAGATTTGGGCATAATCCTATGATAGGTGTTAATCATACTAACAAGTTTAATGAGGCCTCGACATATAATTTCCATTTCATAAATAAATATCGTCTGCATAAACGACTTCATGGTCAAAGCAATAGTTCATCTTTAGATCCTTATTTAATACCCCGGCGTACAATGACATAACCAATGAATTATTTAAAAGGATGAAGAATCAACCACGAATAAATCAATCGGAAAACATTAACATAGAATTAGAAATTATCAAGTGCCTAAAAAATTAAAGATCTAGCTACAATATAAAAGGCGTTTTCCATATCTAATAAAACCTATAAATCTCCCTACAACCCCGAACCTCGATTCCCGCTCAAAGCTAAGACATAATGGCTAAATAAAATGCCGCTGCATCAACTTTCATATCTCCCGGACTAAAAACCGGGCTTTCCAGAAAAACAATCTTCAACAAAATATATGCAGCCAACAAATAGAATTGCGAAAACATGCCAGAAAAAAAAAATAAAAAGAATCAAATTAATATAACATAATACCCGGCCCTCGTAAATAGCTACGGTTAATTTAATAAAAAAATAGTACTTAATAAATTCCTATAACTTAAAATTAAATATCTATAAATATAATAATAATAATTTCCATTAAACATATTGTATAATAAAACTAAAAAAACATATATTATTCATTTAGATGTTTATTATATTCCATAAAATAAAACAATACATAAAAATATAAAGTAAAAATTATAAATATAAATTTTCTATTATATAATTATATATATATATAAATAATAAAAATAAATAAATATATATAATTATTTCATTATTCTCAAATTCATCGTAAAAACGACCCCAAAAATTTCTTATCATTCATTTTTCATTAAAAAATCTTTAATATATAAAAAAAATAGAAGAAATATATAAAATATACAAACATCCATTATTAATCTTCATTTATTTTATTAAGAATAATGTCAATATTAATATCTTTCAAATATCCGCAATACTAAACAATATTCAATTTTCAATAATTTTTCCCGCGACAACATACATATAGGAAAAAAACATCATAAATACAAATATAACAAACTACTTAAAATATTAACATGGAAGCTTTCTAAAACTACAAAAAAAAATTACAACCCCATTATAAAATATCCTATTCCTTAATCTTTACAAAGGGGTAATAACAAAATCTACAATCCCATCGTTATTATTTTAATCCCCCCCGAAATCAACCAGCCAACATAGACTTTCACCAACACTAATAATGCTTATACTAACACTAATATTAGGCAGAACCAATTCTAATCAAAATCGTTATTGTAGCGGTCGTTAGAAGCGTAATAGTAATAATAATCGTGGTAGCAACAGCAGCAGGCAGGAGTAGTAGTAGTAATAGTAATCCGATCAACTGAGTCTCTGTAAACCTTCTACTTAGAACCTCTATCATATCCTAGAAACAAAAACTGCAGCCCTGACCCCCCCTCAAAAGATGTTATCGCCTCTACCCCCAAATCTGCAGCCCCGTTGTTGTCTTTTATCGCCCCCCTTCAGAATAAAACACCAACAAATAGAAAAACAAGAAACAGACCAACCAAGACTTGAGTACCACAACGACAAGAAGTCCAGCTACTAACATCTCTCTAAACCTTCGATCCTATCCCTAATAGTGTTCCTTTCAAATCCCTAATTTGCAACATGTGACAACTATGTTGGGCAGCTGTTTTTGTCTCTACCACCAACAACAACAAGAAGATCAACAAACACCTTATAAAAATACAAGAATCAAAAACCAATTAAATAAATATACAATGCATCGAATATTGAAATTAAAGATCATAATATCTCATCCGTTCTTTTTGAATTTACCTCAGTGTCATGTATTGCTCAGCCTACCAACAAACTCAACAGCCCTGCGGTGTTCGTTGAGGCACAAGCCTTGTAGAGGTGCTGTCACGCGGAATTATTGGGTGGCAACAGTGACCTGAATTTCCTGGCATTGCGCTTCTCTGCAGCAGTCATCACGATGGAATGCCGGAAACCAAGCTTGCTTGACTCATGCCCTATGAGTTGGGCTTCTGTCACATGATTCTCCAACCTAATAGCAATGGCCTCCAACCTACTAGCACGGGCCTCGAACCTACTAGCACGGGCCTCCAACCTAACAGCGATGGCCTCCAACCTACGAGCAATCCAATCACAAGCTTGCTGGTTTAACACATGGCACGAAGACTCAGGTGACCTTGGTGACGCACTGGAGTTCAAGAGCATTTGTCTTCTGCCAAGCTGAGAGGACGACATGCCAGCCATCTGGGCTTGTCGCATGACGGCGTTGATTGCCTGCCAGAATGGCAATTGAGAACCCAAAGACCGAGTTCTTTTGAAGCCGACTTCACTATTAGGCATCCGCCAGTAGGTTGAAGGATCGCTTCCAGGTTGGAGGCCATCGCTCGCACATCGCTAGTAGGTTGGAGGCCATCGCTTCTAGGTTGAAGGTTATCGCTCGTAGGTTCCTTTGCTTTTTGCAATTTGCATCTGCCAACTCTGTGCCACCTCAGGATTTCCTGAAGTTGTAGCAACCTCCAGCAACGTTCGGATGTCGGACCTTGGAGAAGTACAGCATGACGACTGGTAGCTTGAGTGATATTGATCGCTTTCCTTTTCTCTTTCCATGGTTTTCCACTGGTAGGTTGGTCTATGACAACTTTGTGGTTTGCCAGGTTCTTAGATAGACAAATCACATGGACTGAACAAACAGGAAACATCTGGGCAATCAATTTCACCTTTAAGACAACTCAAGAAAGCTCTCCTGGACTCTCACATTCGAGATCTGAGCTCCATTGCTCTGAAACGGGTGGCGCAGTGCTGACTGCCTGGCCATGTTCGCTTCAGTGACCAAAACAAACAAACAACAAACAAAAAACAAACCAGATTTTCAAGTCAACAAAGGAGTCAAATAAAATCGTTGGATCTCTTCCAGGTTTTGGCTTCTCTCGTTTCATTTTTTGAGGTGCTCAGTTTGTGCAAATCAGCTTGAGCGGACCTGGGCCTTGGGCGACATCACCTTAGAAAGAAGGCTGCTCAAAAGTCAAAATACATCACGTCGTCCTGTTCTTTTGGCTGAACTGCTGCCCTTGAGATCCTGGTCTGTTCAGTACCTTTAGCACGCCACTTTTTTCTTTCTCTTTTTGGAGAACTGGAGAATTGTTCCATCAACAGTGCTAGGGGGTCAAGCGAGGAATGCCTTTTCTGCTAAATACTCCAGCTTTGAGATGGGGTTCGTGTTGGCCACCTCTCAAACGAACCAGAAAGGTACCACACTCTACAACACATCTTAAACCCAACACATTGAAGAACCTGTTCAAATCTTGGGCATGTTGGAAGAAGCCCGCAGATCGCATCAAAAAACGATCGCTCTTGAGCTGGCGGCCATCACTACTAGGTTGGAGGCCATCGCTGCTAGATTGGAGGCCGTCGCTATTAGGTTGGAGGCGATCGCTACTAGGTTGGAAGCCATCGCTACTAGGTTGGAGGGGTTAGGGGCCAATTGCTAGTAGGTTGGAGGCAATCACTACTAGCTTGGAGGCCATCGCTACTAGATTGGAGGCCTTCGCTCTTAGGTTGGGCCATCGCTACCAGGTTGGAGGCCATCGCTAGTAGGTTGGAGGCCATCGCTACTAGGTTGGAGGCCATCGCTACTAGATTGGAGGCCATCGCTGCTGGGTTGGAGACCATCGCTACTAGGTTGGAGGCCATCGCTAGTAGGTTGGAGGCCATCGCTATTAGGTTGTCGCTACTAGGTTGGAGGCCATCGCTACTAGGTTGGAGGCCATGACTACTAGGTTGGAGTCCATCGCTACTAGATTGGAGGCCATGGCTGCTGGGTTGGAGACCATCGCTACTAGGTTGGAGGCCATCGCTACTAGGTTGCAGGTCATCGCTATTAGGTTGGAGGCCATCACTACTAACTAGGTTAGAGGCCATTGCTAGTAGGTTGGACGCCATCGCTAGTAGGTTGGAGGTCATCACTTCTAGGTTGGAGGCCTTTGCTACTAGGTTGGAGGCCATCGCTGTTAGGTTGGTGGAGGTCAGCGCTATCAGGTTGGAGGCCATTGCTATTAGGTTGGAGGCCATCGCTAGTAGGTTTGAGTCCATTGCTAGTAGGGTGTTGCCAAGTCCGCTCAGGTTCATTCACTTGGATCACCCGAGCCACCACAGACGGGGCTGCGAAGGTAGGAGGTGGTGGCGGCAGCTGAGGGTGAGGATGTGCAGGATGAGCTATGACCCCGCCTGGCCGTTTTGGTCACCTCGTCGAAAATGACCCCATGGACGGACATACCTCTGAATTGAATGGTTGCTTCTTGCGCGCAAGGGAGTGAAGGTAGATCTATGTTTTCTGTAAGTCTTCATTTGCTACAGGCTGTATGCATTGTCCTCTGCACTTGAGAATATTTCGTTTGCTGCATGTTTTGAGAAGCAACCGAACCAAATCATTAGTGCGAGCATGAGCTATCCTGTGTCCAGTTGCTAGAAGCTAACTAAGTCGCCAGGAGCGAACTACTCCCTTACTTGATTCAGCACCTACAGCAGAGCGGGCCCCTAGTAGCTTCTTGCTCCTAGTAGTAAGGCCACAAGCCCCTAGTAGCGTCCTTGTTCCTAGTAGCGATGCCAGGAGCCCCTAGTAGCGTTCTATTGTAGGGCAGAGCGGGCATGAAAAAACATTTAACCACACAAGACTCCAAGCATCAACCCACATTGGTCGGTGGCACGTGAAAATGTCTTGCGTCGAGAACAACCTCGGCCAGTACTCCCTCGGACATTGAAAACACCAAAAAAGGAATCGTCCTTTAGGTCCTGGAGAAAAAGAAACAAACAAAAACACTATTCAATCTTCTGCCCTATTTTTTTCGATGCTTCTTTGGTTCGGGTCCACATGCCAGGAATGCCTGGAGGAGCTGCCAGAGGTGCAGCGTAGGAGGGCAGCCCAAACTGCGCCTGGCAATGGCTGGTTTTTGGAACATGGACCACAGCAAAAGACATGATTTCGGCCGTCCGCACTAAGTATATACAATTCTACTTTTCTTGGCAAGGGTTGGCAAAATGCAAGCAGCTGTCCAGAATAACCCTGGCGTCATAGCTCATGTGCCCCGGCGCCTGTAATGGCTGCGCCACTGGCTGTGCCATGGGGGCCGCCAGGGTTTGCATGGGTTGCATGGGCATTGGCTGTGCCACCGCAGGGGCTGCTTGCGGCATTGCCTGCTGTGGCATTGGTTGTGGCATTGGTTGTGGCATTGCTGCCATCGGCTGCCCTGGCCCATGGACCTGTGACAAGTCATGACATTTCAAGAATCTCATTCTTGTTTGCTTTTCTTGCCATCCTTGTATGACCTTTAAGTTTCTCAACATCATCTGCAGGCATTCTAGCCAAACAAGCCGCGTTCAACAGCAACACATGAACCAAGTTTTCCTACGAAGGTGTCTTTACACGTAAAACAAACGACGTCTGAAAGATTCAGAAAGACTGTAAAAAACACTCCATACATGGAGGCCATCGCCATCGCTAGGTTGGCGGTTGGCCTCGTGCACGACGCCAGCTCTTTCTGGGCATCCCTGCCAGACCCAGAGCTACGGCTGGACACCCGTTCCTCGGTGTTCTGGATAGGATTGGATGCGGACTTTCTTGTCGGTTTGTGCCTTCCTTATTTTTGAACCTTGAGTGAAACCCATTTCACATGGCTTGAAAGTTTTGTCGTAGTTTTGCACACACTGTTGCAAAGGAAAGCAAATTTAGTTTAATTCTAATAGCTTCTTGTTACTACTAGTAAGGCACTTGTTACTAGTAGCGATGCACTTGTTACTAGTAGCTCCAATTATTAATCACCCATGAACCGGATGGACTGCGAATGGACTTTTCGCTTCCACCGACGTCACCACTGTCTTCGCTTCGTCGCGAGGCCAAGGCACATGGGTTGAGGAGGCATGTGTTGAACCTCGGAGCAGTGATCCGCATTTGGATGAAACATCCATTCCTTCTAGGTTGGAGGCCATCCATCGCCATTGGGTTGGAGGACACTACTACTAGGAACAAGAAGCTACTAGGGGCTCCGGCCTTACTGCTAGGAGCAAGGACGCTAGGGGCTCCTGGCCGTACTACTAGTAGCATTCTTACTACTAGGAACGAGGCGGCGGGTGTTTCAGCATGAGTCAAGTACCCGTCCCATGCAAACGGAGTGTCTGTGGTTACATCGTTACACAAAGTTGCCACATGGTTTCCCTGTAAGCAACCTGGCTGTCCAACCTCCTTGTACCATGAACGTTGATGGGAAACCCAAGTTTCAAATGTTGGCATCTCCAACTCTCCTCTGCTTCCTCCCATCTCTGAGGCTTCTGCAGGGATGCTGCTGAAGATTGGTGGCTGGTGGCCCTGGAAGCGAATGGCCCAGATCTAGTGGGTACTGGGTACTGGGGTGTCGATGAAACATATACAGTTTTAGTACTTCCACAACTGCTGAAAGTCCCTGTCACCAAACCAAGAAAGTTAGCAAAACAGAAAACATTGAACTCACAACCAAAACCCCTTGTTTCCTCCAAAGGCACTTGGCCGAGATTATGGACGGATTTGCTCAGCAATCTAGCGTTCAAAATCCTTTATTGACATGTGATCATAGCTTTCGTCCTAAAACTAAATATTTCGAAAGACAAATCTGGCGCGATCCCTAGGAACATGATTGGATTCATGTGCTCCTCTGGAATAGGTTGATCCAAGGAGGGGGTTTGAAATCCCCGAAGACACCAAGGACAACAAAACCCGAAAGATGGTCTGCTGGAACCTGCCCAACAAGAAGACGAGGTCGAGACAAACTTGGCCTTTGCTGGATGGAAGGTATGGAGCTGGGGGGATTGAGACTTCAGAAGTAGCGATGGCCTCCAACCTATTGGCAATGGCCTCTATCTCCTGCCCCATAAAACCATGTTGGACTCACCCGTCACGGGATCCAAAACACAGATTTGCGCAACGCACACATACACACAAACGTGTACCATCACGATACCAGCATGTAAAATCAATCTTCCGCTTCTCGCACCATGACCGGCGTGAGATGGCCTGCATGGGCATATACATCTCAGGTGGTCCACCTGCCTGGAAGAGCGCGAGAAGCATGGCTCTTGCTCAGGCTAATTAATAGCTATTTGTTCCTAGTAGCGTCCTTGTTACTACTAGTAAGGCACTTGTTACTGGTAGCAATGCACTTGTTCCTAGTAGCTTATTGATTCCAATTTCAATCCCTCACTAGTTTCACTTGCAGAACTCCCTCGGTCAATTTGCGCATGTCGTGGACAATTTGCGCATCTGAATCGACCGACTCGTGCGGACGTCGCGACGTTTGCGCCTGTGGCATCGGTGCATAGGTGGCAGTCTCTGCCTGCTCGGCGAAGGCAAAAGAACGCTGTTTGGTTGGAGCTCCGCGCATGTGCGGAGTCTGGGGCTCCAAAGGGAACACCTCCAGGCTGCGAGGCTCCACACCGCGTCGTTTCGTCTGACTTTAGCGTTGAGAATCCGAAACGCTTTGGATGGTCACTTCACTTCCAAGGCACCATTGGCACCGTGTGCGCCACTGTGTGCGGCACCGTGTGCAGCGGTGCCTCAGTGGAGGGAGCGACCCAAACGTGGAAACCTGACAGCGTCCATCAAAGACCTGGGATGATCTGATACGATCTTGCAGTAGCCAGAAGCTACTAGGAGCGCTCCTGGCATCGCTACTAGGAACAAGGGCATCGCTATTAGGTTGGGGGCCATCGCTACTAGTAGCAAATTGTTTCAAAGACCAGGGTGAAAACCTCACCGAAGCTACGAAACCCATTGTTGTTAGTTCTTCTTCGGCCGGCAAAGAGTCCCTTGCTCTTGGCGACCACATCAGGTGTTGAAACCCCATGTTGAACCATCACTGCACTCCACAGTTGTTCGCTGCGTGTGACTAGTCCTGGTCAAGACGTGACTAGAATTTCCAGCGGATGCGAAGCAATGATGGTTTCAGTCTTGCCGAGCCGGACTTATTTCATTTCCGATTCGCTTTTTTGGAGAAATCAAAAGGACAAAAAAGCAAAAGGACAGGAAAAAAGACAAGAAATACAGAAAGAGACACAGGAAGAGTTGGACTAAGTTTTCCTAAACATCTAGGAGCCAAATCATTGGTGCACGAGCTATCCTGCATTCATGGTAGTAGCTTAAGTAAGGTCTTAGCTACCTCAGCTCCTTACTTAATTAAGTAGGAGCCTACTTAAGTAAGTAGGGAGGGGGAGGGAGCAGGCTAAAAAGAGAGTTTGGACAACAAGGCTTGTTTCAGTCTCCCTGTTCCCTCACTTCCCACTGCTGCTTCGTTGCCCCATGCGGCATCGGATGAAGCGCCTCAGTGGATTCTCATGGAAGCTTTAATGGATTCTCAGGTGCCGGCGGAAAGAGGACAAGAAGAAGCTCTTGATATATCTTTCAATGGCAACATGTTGGTTTTTGGGGCACCTGTCAAAAGGCATTCTCCAGACTTCGGGGCTTCTCTCTGGGAGTCAAGCCAAACCATGGAAGCTACACCTTAAGGCCGTGGCGGGCTGCATCGGCGCCTGCAAAACAAGTATCTGAGTTTGTTTCAGCATGCTGAGCGATTCACTTTGTGCCCCAGCAGATGGTCTTTCTTTGTCTTTCTTCTTTAGACCTTTTTGACCCTTCTTTCTTTCTTTCTTTTTTCTTTCTTTCTTTCTTTCTTTCTCTTCTTCTCAAAATGCTCAGCAAGGACGCGCTGCGATCCCCGAGACCAACTGCGCCTGAGGGTATGGAGGCACCTCACATTGAATGACATGTCAGCCCTTCGTGTTGTCCATCGAAGTCTGGATTGGAGGCCATCGCTCTTAGGTTGGAGGCCATTGCTCTTAGGTTGGAGGCCATCGCTCTTAGGTTGGAGGCCATCGCTCT